CTGGGCCACAGGCTGGGCCCTGAGGGCTTCTTGGGTGTTCTTCAAAATTCATCAGCTGAGGTCCAGTTTCTGGAAGAGTTCCCCCCTTCCCGCTGCTGCATGTGTTTCCTGGGTCCTTCGCTGGTTCTCAGGACCAGCTGTAGAGGATTTGGGAAAGAGAGAGACGAGATGGGATTTATACCCCACCTGTTAAATAGTGGGTTCCATGGATGAGCAGACCACAAGCCTCGTGATCAGTTCCACTTTATTAGTGATTTCAGCAAGCACCAGACAAGACCCCAGAGCCACAGCCCTGTTTAAATAGCATGCAATTGCCACACCCAAACACACCCCACTCCCAGTGACAGGCTATCTACATGACATTACTCCTAGACTGGTTACTTTCCCAATCCTGGCAGGCTATTGTTCTTGGGCTCCAAGCTCAGCCAGTCTCTGGGGTGATTCAGTCAGGAGTGATTCAGTCCCAATACATAACACCCGCCCTTCACTTGGAGTCTCAGAGCGGCTTACAATCTCCTTTCCCTTCCCCTCCTCACAACAGACAGACACCCTGTGAGGTAGGTGGGGCTGAGAGAGCTCCGAAAGAAACACCTCTGGTTCAAGAACAGAACTGTGGCTTGCCCAGGGTCATCCAGCCAGTTGCAAGTGGAGGAGTGGGGAATCAAACCCAGTTCTCCCAGATTAGCATCCGCGCACTTCACCACTGCACCAAAGGACCTGGAGGAGGCAGCCGAGCCGCTGGGAAGGATCCCCATTCCAAAACCCGACTCCTGGTGGTGGGCAGGGCAGAGCAGGGCAATGTCCCCTCTAAGCTGTGGAGCCTTGTGAGCAAAAATCCTACTTCGTGAGCTCCTGGCATTAAAGTTGTGAGCAAGCGACTTGGCTACCGCATGAATTAGTCTGCTTTGGAGCCCTCCTTCCTGAGTGGAGACAAAAATGTGTGAGCTGGAGGCTAAGAAACTGTGAGCTAGCTCACACTAACTCAGTTTAGAGGGAACACTGCGAGTCGTGTGTCCTTCCCTTCTTGGAGGCCTCCCTTGCCAGTTCTGGGCTGGGCGGCTTTAGGAGTGGCACCCGGGGAGGGCAGAGTTTGTGGGCCGGAGGGACCTCCGTGGGGATCTGATGCCACAGAATCCACGTGCCATCAGTTGGGGATCCGAACCCAGCCCCTGCCTGGAGGTTGCTTTTCTCTCCCGGCTCCCAAAAGTGCGGAAATAAGATGTGCAGGCAGAAAGCCAAGAAGGGGGTGGGGCGGGGCGGGGCCTCGTATAAAATGTCCTGTGGAGCAGTGTTCCCTCTCAGCGGAGTGAGTGTGAGCCAGCTCAGTTTTTTTAGCCTCCGACTCGCACCTTTTCGTCTTCGCTCAGGAAGGGATGGCTCCAGAGCAGACTCATAGATGCAGCAGCCCAATCGCCTGCTCACAGCTTTAATGCTTGCAGCTCACAAAGCAGAATTTTTGCTCACAAGACTCCACAGCTGAGAGGGAGCATTGCTGTGGAGCTAGGGTTGCCAGTTTCCAGGTGGGGTCTGGAGCTGTCTCCGGACGAGGGGTATCAGTTCCCCTGGAGAAGGCAGCAACCTCGGAAGGGGGGGGGCTTCCTGGCCGTTCAGCTTGTCCCGTGAGGGTCGCCACCCCTGGGCCGGGAAATGCCTGAGGCTCCGGAGGGCGGGCCTTGGGGAGGGACCTCCGCAGGGTCCCCCGTCCTGCGTGGCCAGTTTTCTCCAGGGGGACTGATCTGCGGAGATCCCCCGGCGGCGCCTGGCGGTTGGCAAGCCTGCTTCCTGGGTGGTCCCCCGTATCCTGGCGTTTCGCAGCCGGGAGTTGGCGTCCCTATTCCGAGGCGCCCC